AAAAAGACGTAAAAAATGACGAGTCGAGCGGCTTGCTTTGGGTGAGCTAGCCCAAAAACCAACGAGCCGAGCTTAAGCTCGACTTGTTGGCGACGAGCCACGAGCTTGGCTCGTGCGAGCACGAGCCGTGCTCGTTTGATCGGCTCAGCCATTGACACCTCTATAGTAGTTATATAATTTAAGGGGATGTACATGTTCAGATTTTCGTGTAGCGACAATAATTAGGCTATACAACTTAATAGTACATATGTTGTTGAATTTATAAAATTGATATAACCCTGGTGGAACTGGTTAGAGGGAGATAGCCTAATCTTATATGAGCTGTTGTAGTTACTAGAAAATTTCATCGTAATTTTCAATTGACTTTTAATTTTTTTGGATATAAGACGATGCTGCTAAATTTGAAGTGGAATTCTTTTCACCTCTTCACCTTTATGTTTGCCTTTCTTTGAGATGTCATTGAATAATAATATCTAAAATCACTGGTGCTGGAGCACTAGTTTGAATTTATAAAATTGATATAATCCTGGTGGAATTGGTTAGAGGGAGATAGACTAATGTTATATGAGTTGTTGTAATTACTAGAAAATTTCATCGTAATTTTCAATTGACCTTTAATTTTTTTGGAAATAAGACGATGCTGCTAAGTTTGAAGTGAAATTCTTTTCACCTCTTCACCTTTATGTTTGCCTTTCTTTGAGATATGTCATTGAATAATATTATCTAACACCACTGATACTGGAGCACTAGTTTATATGGCATTAGGTGATATGTCCAATGATGGGACACCAAATGTCTATTATGGACACCATTATGGTGCCCATTATGTACCCCTAGCACATCTCATAAAAAATTACATATCACCTGACATATAGTTACTTTTTGGTTCAGGACTAAGAGCCGTTGGAAACAGGTTTCCCATTCATGCCCTCATTTACAACGTGACAAATTACAACATTGCCCGTGTAAGATGTGGTTAATTGTTCAAATGCATTTGAGCGTAGATTGGGAAATATATATATATATATTGCCTTAAAAGTATAACGTATCATTCAAATGATAAGACTAAGGCCCTGTTTGAGAGAGATTTAGATTTTTCTACAGTAAATCAATTCTCATTTTCAACCACACATTTTTCAATAAAATAATATTTTCCATCACATCAATAATTTTTTTTTGCTTTTTCAACCACACATTTCCCATCATATCACTATTCAAAATCAATTCTTCCTCCAAAAATCCCTTCCAAACAAACTCTAAATGTCACTCTTCAGTGGCCCACTATAATGTTGAAAACATTTTTTTTCCATCCAAAATAATGGACGTCTAAACGGACGTTTAATTATACATTTCATTTAATGATACTTAATACCACGTAAACTAGTATTATAATATTAATGATACTAAATAGTATTACTCTATGTCATAATGTAACCTTTGATTTTTTGAGAATAAATTTGTCTTCCTCTTTTTCCTCGGTTTTACCACTAACAATTTGATGAGTACACATTGCTCTATTGTTCAACTTTATATAGTACTTTCTTACAATGAAGGTCGAAATGTACGTTCTCTAGATGCTCCTATACAGTTTTATTGCACCGAAATTGTTCTACAAATGTTTCAGTAAGATTGAGCCATTACATTTTCAGTGCACATTGCTCAAAGAGAAAGCTTACTAATTCCTATCATAGTTGTGAGACTCGATTTGGTGATCGACTCTATCAAAATTCTGAGTCAGTAACAGAGTTTTCGATGAAATAAAAATATTTTCTTTATTGAACTTAGTAAACAATTTTGTGTCAATTTCAATTCCCAATGGAATTATAGGTTATCTTGACATTCAACCCTCCCCTCGCCTTCTTCATTTCTACTATGCTCCACAATTCCAAGAAATAAGATTCAACCAAATACTCCCCACCCCAATTCTTGATTGTTTTTGAACGTAAAACTTGTGGACTGAAAATAAATAAAATTATAAGTTCTCGATCGTGTTGCTTATTCTAAGTCATTTTAGTTGACTATGTAAAATGTCTGTTATGTTTTATTATCGTTCAGCGTTAGGCAATGTGTTGGAATTGTACGACGTGACCTGAATTAAAACAAAATTAAATTAAAGTACATGGATTCACTCGATATAAAGTGAATTAACCCCAACAATGTATTCCAAAGCTATTAACAAGAGAATTTACTTGTATTTCTTAATATAAAGGAAATATACTTAATAGAGGAAAACATTTGAAATTATTTAATTTTATGTTGTAAAGTAATATATATTCAAATGATGTGATGTAAAAAAAACGTGTTTCCACGTGACTGGATGACACGTTGCTCGAGCAAATGTGGGAAAGCCAACTTAAGCTCGTGCAGGCCTCGTGTTAAAATCGCATTATTAAATTATCACTTCAATAATATATACTTAGCACGGGCTTGCCTGCAGCCTGCGTGTGCTCTTAAGTTGGATTATTTAAGAAAAAACTAAACAGATAATGGATTAATTATATCCAAACAGGAAATAGAATAACCTCATCTGTCATTAAATTTCTTTTATTTTAACAATAATTTATTCAAAAATAACTAAATCTATATGGGATTGTAATTAGTTATTTGGAGGTGTTTGAATTTCTTAATTAAGTTTTGTTGTAACTTAATGGAATGGCTTGGCCTTTATTATTTTCTTTCTTGAAATAAGATTTCCATTTATCGAAACTTATTCTTGAATGTGTTTATCTACATGTATATAATTTTATGTAGATAATGGTGTCCACACCCTCACATGGGATGGGAACCACTTCAGGGTGGATCCCACCTCACGTGTAAAAGTAACATATTTCTTCTTGATTCGGGTTGAACAAGATTCAATCTAGAAAAAGATTTTCACTCAGAAAATGATAGATATTGCTAAAAAAAAAAAAAACCTTCAAAAATTTTGATTAATTAGGTAATACTTTTAATTCCAAGAACAAAAACAATTAAAAATCCTGTTATTTTGCATTATAATATATATGCTGATGCACATGATGAGATAAGTAATCTAATTAGTATATAAATACATCTTATGATTAACTATTAAACTGCATTTTCTTATCAAACAAAGTCCCAATTCCAATTTAAATCAGTGACTGAAAAATGCTGGAAATATGCCCTCAGTTTTCGAATTTTGGGTGGCTTTTGGATGATCCAATGAGCCATGAACAGGAAAATTTTTATAGAGAAAGAATAGAAACTTCAGACTCCATTAATGTTCTTCATTCTCCTTCATCTAAGATACATGGTGCAAACAGTACTGAATCTTTGCATTTTGATGGAGATGTGAAGATGGTGAAGAAGCTCAACCACAATGCCAGCGAACGAGATCGCCGGAAAAGAATTAATACGTTGTATTATACTCTCCGGTCACTGCTTCCGGCGGCAGATCAAATGGTAAAACCAATGTTTTTAAGTATATTTATTTGAACTAGTTCGTCCAAATGCTTAAAGCCCTTAAAGAAGATAATTATTTAAATTATATTCGTCACACACCCCCCATCACATGAAGGTTAGATTCCTTTATTCATCAAATGCACAATACTTGTGTAATTTTCATAAATGAGTAATGATGAGACTCAAACTCAAAAGATATCTTCCGACGCTGGCATTGAAGAACGTCATTATTTTAGGGTCCGTTTGATTGCAATAGTAAAATTTGGGTGTAAATAAAATAAATTACATGGAATTGAATTGTTTAGAATTGTTTTCATGAGAGTTGTCAATTAATTGTGTTTGATTGATATAATTTTTCATCTGAAAAATGTTGAAATTTTGGATCTTTTGATATTTGTTTGACTTTGTTTTCCATGGAAATTATCAATTAAAGGGAATTATTTTTTTATAATTATTCATAGAATTTGTTTTCATTGTCAAATTGGTGGGAAAATGGTTTATACCTAAGAAGGGAATATTCTAGGACTAATTTAACCTACTATGAATGAACAATTTTTTTTCTTCACCTATTAAATTTGGTCCGGCATCAAGAAATAATTTATGATAAATTGAGGCTATCATCGATATATGAATTTTCTGAAGCTAAATTCCATTAAAACTTTTACATGCCCCTTAATTATTTGCATGTCGAATTCTTTCTTCATCAAAGCTCTAGTTAACACATAGACGATTGTTATAAATGGGTGACGGTAAGACCTATAGTTTAAGCTTCGAGGGAGGGACAAACTCTATAACTATTGAATAAACTTCTCTTTGCAGAAGAAGTTAAGCATTCCTTCAACAGTATCCCGAGTGCTAAAATACATACCAGAGCTGCAGAAAGAAGTCGAGAGACTAGTCGAAAGGAAAGAAAACCTTGTAGCAAAGATTTCCAGGCAAGAAAATTCAAATCGATATAGGAAGCAAAGAAGAACAGCAGATCATCAGAACTCAGTATTAGCTGTTTCAGCGAGTCAAATAGGTGATCGAGATGTATTGATTCAGATATCAACTGTGAAGATCAAAAGGGGTTCATTTTCTGAAGCTCTACTGGATTTGGAGCAGGAAGGGATTCTTGTACTGAATGCATCAAGTTTTGAATCTTTTGATGGGAGGGTTTTCTGCAATTTGCATCTTCAGGTACTGTTTATATTTTCAATGCTCAAGCATATATGGTGAAATATATTAACAGTTGTAGTAAGTAGGCTAGGATTTGGTCGTGTTGGAATATTCATAACGATTGATCAAATGGGGTAAACAATTTATGCACTCGACACAAATTTATAACTCCAGAAAATAAAGGTTGAAATTGTGTTTTGAGCATACAATCAATTCTTTAAAATTAAAACAGGGAAAATTCTAGCACCAAATATCCAATAGAAAAAGTTGTACCTAATGGCCTTTCAAGAGACAGATGGCAAATTATCAGAAAATCGATTAGATACAGGAGAAGACGAATACATATTCGATGACAAAACTAATGAAATGGACGATGACCTAAAAGAAGTCTACATAGAGATGATAGAAAAATAGTAACGTAATTCAAAAGAAGAAAAGACGTAGAGGCAGAGAAATGAGCATTATTAGGCACGGACAAATAAACAATACTCGATGGACAATTATCAACAAAGAAAGTCAAAAAGGAGAGGCGTGAAGACTAAGTTTTCAAAAGAATCTTTTTTGTTTTCACATAGCTATAAAGTATTATTTCTGTTTGATAGGTGGAATAGATAGAATCGAAATGTATTAAAAAATGAAAAGAAGTTAAAACATGTCCTAAGAATAGAGTACATTGACAACACAAAGTCATAATCGACTTTGATACATCAAGAAAAAAACATCCAAATAACTCTCCACAATATTCCTATATCTACAACCCCCCACCCCCCAAAAAGACCAAGAAATCAAAATTAAACCCCTTCATTTATCTGTGTAACTTCTAATGCTTCTATCCTCTTGTTGGTTTGGATTCAACAGGTACAAGGAAGTCAAGCCATCGATGTTGAAATGTTGAAGGAAAAGTTCTTGTCATTGTACGAGAAGAGAGAAGAAATACAGGGTTAAAGTCCAACTTCACGTCTAATTGGAGATTAGAGATATAGAATGTATAGGACCTTCTAGATGGACCATGTTTTTCTACTTTATGAACTCTGTCTCTTACGATTGCTGACTTGATTAATAAAAATATTAAAGAAGAAAAAGAAATTATAATTATATTTAATTATCTATTAGCACGTAACTAACATGTCCCGTACACGAGATTGTATTGTTATTGGATGAGGAAATTACACCCACAAAAATTTTAAAGTTACCATTTTCAAAAATACAGAATCAACTTTAATAATACATAAATCAGGTTTTAATTAATAATTTTTAAATTATTTTTTATTTAAATCAAATCTACACAAAATCAAACCCTAACTTTTTCATTTGCCTCTCCTCTCTCTCTCTCTCTCTCTCTCTCTCTCTCTCTCTCGCCATTCCAACCGACTACCACCACCACCTCTCTTCTCCCTCAAACCGGCTGCATCTCGCCAATCACTGAAGAG